TATTTTTAAGGTTGGAAGATATTTCAATTTGAAGGCCCTAATGAACCTTTTATTAAAAAAAGCTGGAATTCAAGGACTATTGCTATTAGGGACAATGATTAAAATTTTGTGTCATCTTTATAAATTCCAACTTGGTTATGGTTAAACATACTTTACTCAAGGTGTCCAAAATATATATGCCCACTAAATCTGCAATTTGGGCAGAGTTCTTTTGAATGCTAGTAGGTACATCTAAACTTTCATTATTCTTCTTCACCCAAGAAGTGTCATTGTATGTAAGTATTTGATCTTCTTGATGTTAAAACAATGTCCAGATCAATTTCCTTTATTTTGCTATATCTTTTAGCTAAAATTAAAGGCTGTTAATTAATAGTTCCTCAATTTTAAAGGGTAAAAATAAGATGTCAAATTGGATGAAAGTGGCTTTTGATTTTTTAAAATTAATTGAACCATTTAATCGTCTTTTTATTTTTAAATCTTATTGATATATATATATATATATATATATATGTATACAATAATGGCATCCTGAGTTATATATATATATATATATGTATACAATAATGGCATCCCAAATTTCCAGGAACCAGTTCTATAAAGGTAGGTAATCTTTAGGAATCAATTCTGCTTATTTTCTTTTCATTCTGAGAATGGAAATAAATCACTTTATAATATCAAAAAGAATTGAGCCATTTCAATTATTTAATAGAAAACATTTACTTATTAAGATATTTCCAGATTGAAATTCTGTTCTCATCATATTTCTGTTCAGAAGTCTGAGGTTTTTAGGCTCTAGTGTCATCAGATGGTTTTCTTAAATAAACATTCAAAATTTAAATCGCATCAACCCCAAAGATTGACTAGAAGATTTGTCACATACACACGCACAAACACAATATCTGTAAATCTTTGTTTTATACTAAACTTTGCATATATCACATTGCATGTATTTTACAATGTGTGTATATAGTATATGAGGATTGTGATGATCATTTTATGTTTAATAAGTTTGTCTTGTTGTTTTCTATTTCTAAGTTCAGTTCTTATTGGATGATCTACTTGTAAAATTTTCAGATGACATGAAATGCAATAATTATATTGAATCCATTTTTCTGTCTGCTGCTAGGAAAATTGATTCAATGTTGTGCTAAACAATTTTTCTCCGCCAGAATCTGTTTACATATTTATAAGTCTACCAGGGATCCTTGCTTTGAATATTATTGCCACAGCTGGTCTGGTGCTTTTGCTATATTTTAGAGATTCTTGATAAAATCCAAAGAAGAATCTGCAGGGTTATTGGTCCTGACCTGGCATCTTGGCTTCAGTCACTTTCTTACTGCCATAGCATAGCTTCTCTGTGCCTTTTCTATAAATACTTTCGTAGTAATTGTTTTGATGAACTTTCCACTTTGTACCTCAACTTTACAAATTTAAGTGCAGAGTTTCTTCTATCACACTTCTCACCTGTGGAACTCTTTTCTGGTATCCTGCTTCTCAGTCAACTTTGATCTTCAAAAATGTAAATATCAATCATTATTTTCTGTCTTCTTAATTCTTGTTCTTTTGTCCTTTTTCCTTAATAACATATTTTTCTCCTATTCTCTAACATTCAGTAACCTCTTGCATCTTAGTGGCTTCATTGCGTTGCTTGGAGTGAAATGATTAAAAACAAAAACTGACTAATCAGGATTTATTAATATACCTAAATTGAATATCAGTTGCAAGAAATTTCCATCTGGGGAATCTAATCATATGTAATATTTTGTTTTTTTTATTTGAGAATGCTTATTTACAGGCAGTAATTTTCAGGATCCTGACTATTGAAAATGTTGGTAAAACAAAATGGAATAAAAATATATGTACATCAAACAATAAGGAAAATTTTTTTAATATTTTATTTATTTATATTTTGTTCATTTACAAAATTCAAATCTTATATTCTGTGAGATTGTCACTTTATTTATACACCATAGACTGAGCAAAATAATCTTTCTTGTTTACAAAAAAACAGGGACTACCAAGTGAACCCCCCCACACACACACACACACTCTGCTCTGAGAGATACCAAGAAGGAGAATTGCTTAGCATGACACCAGAAAAATCTAATAGGTCATGAGTGACATCATGTCTCGGAAAGAGTGAAAATAAAAATTATCAGGGCTCCATTCACCCATGTTAGAGAAAAATCACTATTTTGGTATTTGCATCCAATTCATAGCAAATTCATCTAAGATCATTTACAACACTCATGAAGAAAGAACATTACCCAATAAGAGAAACCACATCACTTGAGGAATTTCAATAGCAGTAACAGTGAAAATGTAACTCAAAGAGAAAATAAATGACAAAATCTAGAAGTTGATATTCCACACTACTTCCAACAAAAGGTTAGGAAGGAAATCCCCATCAACACTGGAAAGAGTGATAATAGCTACTGGGCTTGAGAATAGAAAATAATGACATAATCAAGATGTTGATATTCCACACTACTTCAAATAAAATGTTAGGAAGGAAATCCCCATCAATACTGGAAAGAGTGATAACAGCTACTTGGCTTGAGAAACTTATTTCCCTGAAAAATTGTTTTAAAAGAAAGGTTTTATAAATTTCAACCGACATAGTTTAAGCTGCTTGGTCATTGAATGCTGAATGTTTCCTTATAAGGAAACAGCTGATATTACTATTGTCATTATATATTTATAAATCACAGAGAAATTCAACATTAGATGCTGAACAATGAAAACAATGAAAAAGAACAAATGCCTTGAAATATGGACAAAGGGTTTGGTATAAATTACCAGAAGAATTGTAACAGGCACCTGAAGGTACAATGGCTAAAATCTTGTGACAATAACAACCAAGATGAAAACACATTGTGGTACATCAATGTATAATAACGATAATTCCTCATTTTGATATTTCAAATAAAATTGTACATCTATCTGAGATAGATAGATAGATAGATACAAACAGACTGATATAGATATGAACAGACTGAGATAGATATGAAAAGATTGTGATGAATAGAGAGATAGATTGAAATATGGAAATTTTTACTATACCTATCTTAGTTGTAATTTTTATTTCTAAAATGATTCACCTCCTCCATTCTTTAACCTTCTTCAGGTGAATAGGGTTAAATGAAAAATTGTGAGAACAAAGTATCTTATCTGAAGGTGTATTTACCTGTGTATTTAATATTAAAGAATTAAGCTTCGTAGAAGTTGTGATAGTTTATGGCATCTGGGAAACAATAGCTCACCCGATTATATGTTTTGGTGATGTTTGGTGTTGCCTGAAGCCTACTCCTTGATTGTATGTCCCTAAGATCCAGGGGTTGGGGGCTATAGGGCCTAGTACAAAGAAATGCATGAAAGAAAAACATTTTAAATGTGTAAAAACAAATGAAACATGAAATATACATTTTATTCAAATTAAATGTGGCCCTCGCTCCCTCCCCCCCTTCTGCACGCTATCAAGTTTACCAGATAATGCAAATTTACATAGAAGGCACAAAATATATTTTTTGCACTTTTTCTAGCAAAAAGGACGGAAAGGGTTTATATTTATCAAATAGAGTAACACACAAAATGAGGAGGGCTACCTCGTCATCATCACTGATTATTAATGAGAAATTGTCTCAAACTCATGAAATAATTATAGAAATATATTATCTTAAGTCGTTTAAATGTACGATAATAATTACAGATTTCTATAATATGACACATTTTCATGTGGTACAAAATTGACAATCAGTTTTTTTTTTTTGTATTGGAAACAGGTATTTTTTGTATTGGAAACAGGTATTTTTTGTATTGGAAACAGGTATTTTTTGTATTGGAAACAAGTATTTGTTGTATTGGAAACAGGTATTTTTTTGTATTGGAAACAAGTATTACAGTGATCTCAATTTTGTCAACCAGTCAACTTTATTCAGTTGAATTGACCAAACTGAGAGAAGAAAAAAAATTAACAACTCACCTGAAAAATCTCAAACAAAAGCTAAAAAAATGTATTGTCTTTTTATATAAAATCTCAATTATTCCACTGGGCACAAATTAGAAGATCAGTTTATTACTTGTTCATTATATGAAAGTGATCACCCACTTTGTGTCATATGAATATATGTACCTTTATTGAAGTTATATTTGTTTATACTCGTCTTTGATATATTTTCAAAAACTTTTGGGCCAATTCATTCTTTATCCAAATGTCATAAGCCTATTGCTGCTTTGTTGCTATTTCCAGAGAAAATGTTCAGATGAACTAAATTCCTTAGTTCCACCAATTCTAACCTTCATGGCTAAGACCCACCATGCCATACACATTGTAGCAAAAAACTCTTTGTAATTTCTACTCAAGCAGTTTCTCCCCATGAACCTTTGATTTGTAGAACTGATTCCCAAGAAGATACTTCTTTGATCACTGTAATCTTGACCTGTTCAAGTCTAGGATTAGCTGTTATCTTCCCCACAAACTTTGCCTCTTACTCTGTAATTCTTTAACTAAGTGGCTCTTGGGTCTTGTACAAGGTAAACATCATTGTAAAAAAAAATAAATGATGAGGATAGTTCCAAAAATGAAAATAATTGAATATCAACAGTTTCTTTGAAACTATGAAAAATATCAAGTTATATGCTTAATGTTCAGTATTAAAATTGGTCCCTCACTTTGTGACATATTCAAAATTATTGAATTATAAAAATCTTCAGTGTTTTTTTTTCTTTTTTGACTATCATTGCATGTATGTGGGTGTGTGTGGCCATTTTCTTTAACCATGTTCAAATGAAGAGATTGATAGAAATGTCATTAGCAAACTTGCCTTATTTCTTTCTCTTTTCTAATGAATTCCATGTTTTTGCTTTTGTTTTTCAGGTGAAAAAATGAAAGTCATAGAAATAACAAGGAATTAAAAGAAAAATTCCAGGAGAAATTGTTAAGTAAAAGAAAATTTAAAAACACAATAGTCTTTTACAACTTCTGAATACCCAGATCCACCATGGATTCAGGCCAGAACACCACCACCCCTCAACTTCACGGAGACCTTTCAGGAAAGCCACCACCATACCCACCACCTCCAACCAGTAATAGCATGCAAACTCACCGAATGACTACTATCGATGAAAAGCCATTTTTTAGTGCCCTCTATGGGAACCAGTTTCCTGGATATTATTTCCAGCCCCATGGACTTATACACACCAATGATAAACTTTTCCACTCTGATCTCTACAGTAAACAATTTTCTACTCAAAACAACTATTTCCAACCCCAAGAGCGTATACCTCCAGTTGAGAAACCAGCTCCAGATATTCAGGTGGATCAAAAACCTCCCATGATAAACAATAAAATTTTACCAAACATTGAAATAAAAACAGAACCAAATGTGAAACCATTTGAGTGTGACTCCTGCCCAAAACAGTTTGCCAGGAAGAACGCCTTGCAGTTACATCAGCGGCTGCACACCGGAGAGAAACTCTTCCAGTGTAACTTCTGTGCCAAGCAATTCATCCACCGTGATAAACTGCAGATCCACGAAAGGATCCACACAGGAGAGAAACCATTTCACTGTGAGTTCTGCCCAAAGCAGTTTTCTCGCAAAGACAAACTGAAGATCCACTTGTGCTCTCATACTGGAGAGAGGCCTTTTCACTGCACTTTTTGCCCAAAACAATTTGTACAGAAGGACAAACTGCTGATCCATGAAAGGACCCACACAGGAGAAAAACCATTCCACTGCGACATGTGCTCAAAGCAATTTGCCCGCAGCGACCGTCTGCAGATCCACAGAAGGACCCATACTGGAGAAAAGCCTTTCCAGTGTGACCTCTGCCCTAAACAGTTTGTTCAACGTTGCTACCTGAAGATCCACCGTCGAATCCACACAGGTGAGAAGCCATTCCAGTGTGATGTGTGCCAGAAACAGTTTGCCCGCAAGGACAAGCTGCAGATTCACACACGGATCCACACAGGCGAGAAGCCATTTCACTGTGACGTCTGCCGGGAGCAGTTTGCCCGCAAGACCCAACTGCACGCACACAAGAAACATGCACACAATGTGCACAACAACCCACCTGCTGTGCCTGAAAGCAAGCCGTTTGATTGTGAAATGTGCATGCAACATATGAGTGATCGCAATGTGCCACAGCCCCCTCAGGTGCAAAGGACGGTGCACCCCCCTCCTACTGCCACTGTAGCCCCTCCACTTCCAGCCCCAACATATCACTGTGACATCTGCTCAAAGCCTTTCTCCACCTTGGAGGAAATGGAGAATCACAAACGTACACATGGGCAACCAAGAAATAATTACCTTAAACCACCGCCTTGCAAAAATCTCAAAGAGTACACACCAATGAGTACACTTCTTTGGCAGACCATGCAACCCTAGAGACAAAGTCTCCTTTCCTAATAAAAATTAGAGGAAATGTGTATGTTTAAGCATGGCTTATAAAAGTTGAAGCCTTGCTCTTTATTCTGCCCTCATCTCTCCAATAGTCCTACTCAAGGCCAATTTCTGTCAGTTGCTCTTTATTAACTGACTTGCCCAGGCTCAAATCATTTTGGTCAGCTGATCATAATAAACTGACCTGCCCAGGATCAAATCATTTTGGTCAGCTGATCATAATTGACTGACCTGCCCAGGCTCAAATCATTTTGGTCAGTTGATAATTAACTGACCTGCCTAGGATCAAATCATTTTGGTCAGTTGATCATAATTAACTGACTGGCCTAGGATCAAATCATTTTGGTCAGTTGATCATAATTATCTGAACTACCCAGGCTCAAATCATTTTGGTCAATTAATCATAATTAACTGACTTGCCCAGGCTCAAATCATTTTGGTCAGTTAATCATAATTAACTGACCTGCCTAGGCTCAAATCATTTTGATCAGATGATCATAATTAGCTGACCTGCCCAGGCTCAAATCATTTTGGTTAATTGATCATTATTAATTGACCTGTAAATTATAACTGAACATCTCTCCTGTTTTTTTTTTTTTTTATTTCAAGCCCATTCCTGTCTGTATTTCATCACAGACTTCTATAAGTTTGGCACATTGAGTGTTAGTACTTTTATGTCAATTCACTATTGCTGTATAAACTCTCTTTTGTTTTTTTGTTTTTTTTTTTTAATCTGGGCTCAGCTTGGTGAAGCTGTTAAAAATGTTCACTGGCCCAATCAAATGTCTTTGTAGAAACTGTTCTGGTCAATCAGAATCACGTTTTCACTATTTGCAGAAAATTTTCAATAGATACCAATAATTATACCCCTCAGGTATTACAAATTTTACCAAATACAAAACTCTCAGCTGGGGTTAAAGCCTTTTTTTCCAGACCCCAGTCTTTATTTTTTCTTATTCTCCTTATATGAGTTACACCTCTGCCACTGTATGGAATTGAATTGCAAACCTCAAGGCTTCCAATCCACTGCTCTAACTATTGAGCTTCTTACCCAGGAAGTTTTTCTTTGGGGAATATATTTACCTGATATCATATTCTTAACATAGGTGGTTTTATTTTTTTCACACCCAACAATTCTGAAGACATCGATAATCTTTTTTAGTGTCATAGGAATCAAATATTAAAAATTTACATCCATGTTGCAAATTTTTGTGGGAAATAATTTTGAAAGTTGCCCACCTTTTTGATAAAATCTCTGGTTACTGATTTTATTTTCCTTATATAAATGAATAATTTATACATATGTGGACAAGTATAGTCGCGTATTTCTCACTGGTGCCAGAGGTCAGTGTTCAACCCCAGCTAAGAAAACAAGGTTTTGAATGTTGATTTTCAAGGCAGGCTGTCATTCACAGTGCAACACAACCCTCCTAATCGTATTTCTTCCCATTTGGCCTTATGCTAGACTAAGCCAAGCTTAGTACATATCATGTGAAAAGCATGTCATATTTCATAAGAAAATAGTAACATGACTATTATTTTATAATGTTCTCTGAATTTGCTCTTCCATTATTTAAAAAAAATTATCTGTTTATTATTTTTTTTAATATTTGTTTTCTGTGACTTCCAAAACATGGTTCAGATTAATCCACAAGTAATTCAAACTAATATCCTTATCTTTAAGTGTTCCCAGTTTCTTAGATAAATCATTGTTATTATTAATTTTTGAGTTGTTTTTCCAACCATCTTTGTCACTGTTTTTTTTTTTTTATCACAATGCCCAGGTTGTTTTTATATTCTACAACCATAAACTAAACAGCACAAATCAAAAAGAAAGAAAAAAAATAACCTTCAATGAGACTTGAACTCTCAGTTTGTATTCTACTGATGTGGCCTAATCAATAAGACATTGTCCATATGTGATTGATTGATTTTTTTTTATGACTTATCAACCCTTTGTGGAAAATTTGGATTGTAAGAATCATTCCTTTTTGTTTCTTAGTGTATACTGTATTAAAAACATTTTGAGAACAACAATGGTTTTTCTAGATAGAAATCCTACTATTTAATCCATAGCAGGGGAGGAGATAGATTCATACCTTTTCCAATAGTATTTGCACATTAGTGAATGTAACGAAACTAACTGGAAATCAAACTCGACTCTAATTTTTTATTCTGATCTACTATCCATTACAACCATTTGCACACCCACCCCATGTCAGACAGGCTCCTAAGAATACAGAACATAAGTTCAAATTTCATTGAAAGTTGCTATTTTATTTTTAAACTCTGCTGCTTGCTTAAGGTATGTAGAATGAAAAAATATCTTGAGTGTTGTAATAAAAAGCAAAAATATAGGGGAAAAGCCAAAATGACTCAAAATTAAATATAATCAACATTTTTGCTAGAAGATTTATTTCGCTGTTTGAGACATTTGTGTTCTTGGGTCATTCTCAGATGAATAATATTGGGACTTAGATTTAATAAATAAAAAACTCACTCCAAATCCCTTGTGCCTGAAAAAAAATTAAAAATACAAGTGTCTTGCAAATACACTAAGAAGATTGACACGTGTATTGATCTACTTTGTAAATGTAACTATTCTTCAGTCCATTTATTGGGATGCAGTGAAAGAAAGATCTTTGGTGCACCTTGTGTGCATAATTTATCCTGTAGGAAAAATTCCCAAATCAAATGGATCCATGGTTGCTGCAAAATTTTAGGTGGAGATAACAAAATTTATATATATATATATATATATATATAAAAGTAAACTTGATTATAAAAATATTTTAGAACTTGATTATAAAATATTCTAAAAATGGATTTTAAAATTGATTAAAAATATTTTAAAAATTAATTCCAGAATTGATTATTTTAAAAACCAATTTAAAAAAAAAGGTTAATTATATTTACTTTATTGCTACTTCTATTGCATCCACAAATGCAATCTTTGGCAAATGTTTGCAATTTTGCAACCAAAACATAGATAAGAACCAAAAACAACAACTTTATAGAAAAAAATGCACAGAGCATATAATCAGAAAAATACAATGTCATTTAATATATTTAATATTTAAAAATACAATATATGTCATTTAAATCAGTTAGCACTCTTTCATCTGTAATTTAATGGGTTTAAATTTAATGGGTTTAAATATGCCAGTTTCTTTATATGAGAATCACTCCAAAAGTAATACTTCCTGTTTTGTTATGTTAGTGCACAACATCAGAGACAGAGCAGTAAAGCAGAATATGTTGAATCTTCCTGCCAATATCCCATAGTATATAAATAACATCTGAACAGCAGTCTGGCAAGAGGGACTCTGACATGAAAGAAATGTATCATTGAGTCACTTCATGTGGAAAAAATTGTACTGACTTATATTCATTGATGCTTGTTAAATGTTTATGGTGATCTAATAGTGGATGAGAGCATGGTTAAGCAGTGGCTAATGCATTTTAGCAATGGCAGTAGTGATGTCTACAATAAGGCATGTTCTGAGCAGCCCTTCAACACTGTCAACCTCCCAAATAAAGAGCGCTTTTATCACCTTGTCTGTGGAGATGAATGTTAGTTTCAAGTGTCTTGGATATCATGCTGTTACTTGTGGAACCGACTCCCAAGAGGAGGATGCTTACCTGATCCCTACAATCTTAACCAGTTCAGTCGAGGGTTAACTTTTATCTTCCCCCACATATACTTATAAACTGTGCCTCTTATTCTGTAACCCTCTACCTCAAGTGGCTTTTGGGCCTTGGATAGGATGAACTTTATTGTAAAATAAACAAAAATGGGTGGGGCCCATATATACTCATGCCAGAACAGAAAGACCACTGAAAGCAATTCTGTCTGGATCTGGTGAATTCTTACAATGCCAAAGGTGGCAGTTTCCTGGTTTTTTTGTAATCACCAATAAAAAGACAAAGTGCCACCACCATGAGCTGGAATCAAAATAAAAGTCTATGGATCACTAAAATGAAAATTAGCTACCATCAGCAGGCAAAATGATGTAGTCTATCTTTTGAGATAGGAAAGGTGCCACCTGGACAAACTATCACTTCTGACCTTGACATTGCAATGTTGATGAAACTGAAAACTTGAACCTTCAGATTCAAGCCAAAGAAGACAACTTCTTCCTGGCAGCATAGTAACACCAGATCCCACGTTAGTTTAAAAACCATGGATCACAGTGCAAATTTTTGAGGAGATTCCTACCATGCCCAGCATATTATCCAAATTTGACACCTTCTGATTTTCATAGTCTGTGCAAACAACATTTACCTAACAATGGTGACATCATAGCAGCCATAAAAATGTGATCTTCCTCTGATGGAGTTTTTTTTTTATGAGGGCAGCATGTAAACTTGTTTTTGTTGCTGATAAAAATGCATAGTTAATAGTAGGAAGTGTGTGCAAAAAAATAGTGTTTTCTTACTGAAAACATGTGCTTTCCAACATTGTATCTGTTGCAGTTTCTGTGAAAATAAATAGGCAGTATTACTTTTGGAGTGCCTCTTGTAAATCTAATATCTTCTTCGGTCAACCATTTTTTAAAAAAATTCTGAAGCATAATTTTTTATGAAAAAGGTGAAATGTGATACATTTGTTAAGAATGTAATAAATCCCTGGATAGGTGTATAGATAGATAAGTTCATTCTGTAAAATATATTGATATGATTAAAGTATGTGTTAATGCACTTAGTTTTTATGCCCAGAACCTGCATTTATTTTTGTTTTGGAAAAAAGCTTAATGCTGTCTGCAAACATTTATGATGCCTTAATCAAGAATGATTGATTAGAGAAACTTTTTCTTCTGAATTAATAATTGAGCTGAGGAAGGCTGAGGAACACAGTGCCCAAAAAGTAACACTTAAATGGACAAAGATAAGAATAATAATGCAAGCCACCTGTGGTTTAATAATAAAGACTCCTTTCAGAATGTTAAAATATGAAGTCAGGCAAAACAAAAAAAAAAAAAAAA